CCCAGCATCCCCCAGGCCTCTCATCCGCGTGGGTGGGCGGCCTGTTCCCGGAGCCTCTTCTCGCATGCCCCGTGTGTGTGTAAACACATTGAGCGGCAACGTTGACACGGGCCAGTTGGAGTGGAGGACATTTCTGAGTGTGCAGACTGTGCCATCTGTCTGGCAGTTGCAATAACAAGCAGAGTGCTGATTTTGCCATTAGCAATTAATAGTTGTTACCATTTTTAAAGTGCTCCTCGCTACATCAGCTTTTTTGACGTGCTGGACGGTGATTAGCATCCACACGCCAATCTCCTGCTCTGCCAGACAAATATTGAATGCAAGCAGAGAAAATTTAATGTTGCGTGTGTTGAATTTATTCCGACAGCTTGAAAGCGCTCTGGGTATTCTTCTCCTGTCTATAAATAAACCAGACCTGCCCTGAAAGGACTAATTATTTCTGTTTCAGTCAGATATGAGTCCTGCAGGCTTCAGAGTAAGACATCCACCTACAAACATGCTCAGGAATGAACGTGTCTTTATGTAAGGACTTCATTAGGCACCGGTCTGGGGTGGCCTCTTTCATTTCATTACCTTCATCATCAGAGCTTCATATTCCAGCAGAACTAGCCTGTGGATTGATCTGCTTTTGGTCTCACAGCATCGCTGATGAACATTGCTTCTGGGAGGTTACGTGTCATCAGGCAAGAGATGTGAAGACTCTCAGCGGTCATATCCGGGTTCGACGCCAGTCACGTGAACCCTCCCCCCCCCCAAACATACACACACACACACACACAAACACACACACACACACACACTCCAACTAAGTGCCTCAGAGGATTTTATAGGAGATGTGTGTATGTGTGTGTGGAATGGAGAGAATGAGAGAGCTGGTCACAGCTGCATGGAGAGCTGGCAGTGGATTGGACCATTTTATGGGAGGGGGGACTCTATTCCCTACAACCCTGAACTGGGGGGTGGTTGTAAGATGGATACTTGCATGCATGCATGGATAGTGGTGGATAAATGGTTGCATGGATGCATGGATGGATGGACAGACAACTCTGAATGTGTCTCTGAAACACACAGGTTATACCAGGGGAAGAGGACTATGTGTATTATCATGTCAAATTTAAGAGCCATCAGTGGAACAGGAAAGACACATCAAGCAGCAATACACAAAGGTTAGTTCCTGGAGCAATTGGGGGAGTAGGCACCTTGCTCAGGGGGCTAATGGTGAACACACCACCCACAGATTACTGAATGCTGGTGAAATGCACTACACGGTGACGTGGATTTTTCAGCCATTCGGATTTTCAGAGAAACAAGGTTAAAAAAACTCTTTCGGCAGACTAAAGCACCGTAAAGGGTCCATTAGCCGAACAGGGACCTGAACCCTAGACCCGCAGTTTAAACGTCTGATGCTTTACCAGCTGAGCTCTCCGGGCCCTTTGTGATACGGCCAACCTGCCTGCTTGTCAGCTGGCTTCTTAGACATCAGCAGCATTTTAATGTTAATGTTTTTGAAGCATCCTGGTCGGAATGCGGCGGGAGGGGCAGTCAGAGAGAGCAGTTGATTGGACGACAGCGTTGTGAGCATGACTCCGTGACCATTCAGACCAAGACAGTGATGTAGCCGTCCAAAGCCGCACAGAACCTCAACTGGATACCCCGACCCCCTGGTAACCCCTCCCTGCGTCGCAGTTACCCCCCCCCCCCCCAGAGGGGCTTCAGCTGGGTGGGCAGGGGGAAATCCAGCACGGGCAGGCTTTGCACTCAAATTACTTGGGAGCCGACTTTGTTTGGCTGTGATTGGTTGGGGCAGGGTGGGCGGGGGGGGGCGGGTTCAAAGCCCGTGCTCTGAAAGGGATCCGTGGAGTAAGACATTCGATGACAGACTCTTTCATGCTCCGTCTGTCTCGTCTGTCTGGCTCTCGCTTTATGACTCATTTTTACCCCAATATAACAAAAGCGGCGAGGACAGCGGCACTCGAGAATCACCATGAAGTCGCTCGGCTGCTTTTCCCCTTTGGAAGAATTTTGAACTGTTTTCAAAGCAGATCTCCCTAACCCCCCCCGCAAAGCCGACTCTCCTCATTGCAGTGATTTTACCTGAAGATATCTGTGTTTTTCTTTAATTCACGGCTAATGTCTCTCTCTTTCTACTGCAATCTAATGAGTTGCATATAAAATCAATCAATGATTAAAACGATTAACGATTAAAAGAATAATGACCCCAACTAAATTATCGCTGCATCATTGTATGATTAAATGCCATTTCAAGGATATGGCATCATTTGAACATCTTTGTTTTAATTGCTATTCAGTTTCTTAATTACTGTTCCCCCTGCAGGATTGCAAAGCCATTGTATGCAGCATGTTGTAAGAGTGAGTGTTTGGTGCTTTGAGAACAATATTAGAGTGAGAATGAGAGCAAGCGGGCCAGACCATGAAGTGAGTAATCCCTACGCATACGCTAATTGCAGCTTGATGACTTCTTGACGACCCTCTCTGGGGTTGAACAGCTTGGACCGCTCTTGTGATGACACTCGCCGGTCCTCTCAGATGCTGACAGGGCATCTCCAGATGGCCGCGATCTCGCTGTTTGCACGCCACCGGGGATGCCAGGCACTGTAGGGGGCGCTGGTCGTAGCTGGGGTCTCAGCTTATGGTCTCAGTTCAGAGTCCCGGTCCAGGGTCCAGCTGACGAATGAGTGTAGCTTCTATTGGCCTCTGATTCCTGCCTCCCCCCTCCCCCGAAATGTCCCCGGCCACCAAGGAGCCAGCATAGCGGCTGTAAATTGTCTAATTGCCTCTGTATTTTCAGCTCTGGCCTTCTTCCATATGGATTTTCTTTTTGGTCAACAGAACCATTTGTGCAGTTGATCCGCATGTTTGTGTGTTTTTGCCTTTTTGAGGAATGGGATTCTGGAGGCTGTCACTGCACTTCAGGGGCCCAGTTATCCCAACACTGGGAGCTGTAACATCCTGGTGGAGGGTGGGTGATTTGGGGGGGGGGGTGGTCTTTATTAACGAGCACAATCTCCTGGCAAATGTGGATATTAGTCATACTCTCCAGTGGTGGCAGGTCTGGGTGGCTGTGTGTGGTCCAGGGATGTAGCTGATGGGCTGGGTGGGGAAAAAACCCCCTAGGGGATATGCCGAAACCCCATCCAGTCATATCGCAGTTTTTGTTTTTTTTTTTGGGGGGGGGGTCATTTGACTGTACAATATTGCCGAAGACCTTGGGTTGGCCATGTGTTTGTCTTGTTTATTTCTTGTTTTTTTGTGTGTGTGAGTCACAGAGATTTCTTTGAAAACTTCGTACCCCAGCCAAACAAGGCACCCCCCTCAAGGAGTTAGGGGAGCACAGTGGCTGTTTAAAAAGCATTTTCGGATGGGGGGGGGGGTGTATCATAGGCCACCTCCAGTTCCCATCTTGTTTCCATTGGCTGTCGTTCTTTTTTTTGTGAGCCAGGATGCGGAGAGCTGCGCTCCGGCTTGCTTTCCGGGGAATCCCCTCAGCGCTGACACACTATTTCCAGCCCTGTCTTATCCTGTGGGCGTGTTTGCTTAACGCACTACTGAAGGTGGAGCAAAACAGCCTGGGAAGGTTGTGGATTGCAGCTCCCCCTCCCTCCTGTGCCTCCCCCTGCCGCCCGTCCCAGCAGCGCCCCTCTGTCAGGTGACACAGGTAGCCCCTCTGTCAGGTGACACAGGTAGCCCCTCTGTCAGGTGACACAGGTAGCCCTCGGTGACACAGCTGACACAGCCGATCCCCAGGCCTTTGCCGTATGCTGCTGGTGAATGCTTTGGTTTATCTCCTTCACCTGAGGGAGAGAGGGATGAGGATGTACAATGAGGTCTAGAAGGTTCTACCCATCTGGTATGAAGAAACGGGGGCCAAGCGGCAGGTCACTTTGTCCATCTTATGTACATTTTTTTTTGCCTCCCGAAAAGCATCTCATGTCCCTTTCTGTCTGCTCCTGGACTCTTCGCAGGACCTCTGGTGATGGGATCAGGCTGAGTGGGAGTTGTATGGTCTGGCATGAGGGTGAGAGGCCCGGCAGTGTTGGGGCCACACAGGCTGCGGAGCTCTGGGCCTTTATTTGGTGGCTTGTTGGTGGGCTAGTGGAGAAAGAAGGAAAGAAGCTGTCAAATACACCAGCCATTGTATTTTCTAGTTAAAAAGTGTTAGATAGACAGCAAAACTTCAATAGACTGGCATCCCATGGAAACGGATGGATGGATGGATGTTTTTCTCACCGTTTCCAAACACGAACTGGTGATATTTCAGTGTCAGCGGCACTTGCAGGGGTGTGGACTGAGCATAGATCTGTAGCTGTCAGCATCAGACACACTGCTTGGTCACAATCCGGAACAGTCCGGAGCTGATAGTCTGCCCCCCCCCCATACCGTCTGTGACAGTGATGGGCGATAAAGCGGCAGGTGCAAGGCAGCGAGCGCGTGGCACCCAGTCAGATGGCCGGCCTTGGTCGCTCCCCCCCCCCCACGCCCCAGCGGCCTGTCAGTGGCTCGTCACGCAAGACCCAGGGCCGCTCTGTGGAGTGATTCACTCCCATGATGCATTTCATTCAAACTACCAGCCTGCTTGACAGGCGAGTAAAGATCAAGAGCAAGTCAAGGCAGTTCACTGATGTGACACTTTGTGACAGATACAGCATTTAGTGTCATGTTGTGTTCAGTGCTGTTGTTCACTTTCTTGCAGTGTTCACTGCCTGTGTCCATTGTGATAATGTAATCAGCACACTGTATTTACTGCCATTCAGGGATCACTATCAATGTCCACTGCCTTTTTGTGTTGAGTCATACAGTGTTCACTGCCATTCTGTGTTCAGTCGAAGTCTTTACTGCTGTTCTGTGTTCAGTCAAACAGTGTTCACTGTCATTTTGTGTTTTCATCTCCAGTGTCTGGGTGTCTGATCTTGCACAGAAATGAACACACGTTACTGGTTATATGATTTCCATCCTGACTCCTCCCCCCGGTTCCCCCACAGACTCCTCGGGCCAGCTGACGCCGTCACCCCTGGGCTCGCCCACGTCCCACCATGGCATGCACCCATCGCTGCTGAGCCCGCCTGCCATGGGCCCGTCGGGGCCGTCGCTGCACTCGCCCATCAGCACTCTGAGTTCTTCCATGAACGGCCTGGGTCCGCCCTTCTCTGTCATCAGCTCCCCCATGGGTGCCCACTCCATGTCGGTGCCCTCGCCCGGGATGGGCTATGGGCCCAGCATCAGCCCCCAGGTAACCCCCTACCAGGTACTTACCCCTCTGCCCTCGCACATTAATAACTCCCTTCACATGGACACCAGCTTGTGAAAGTCTCGTACCTAATAGATCTGCGATAAATGATAAATGCTTTATTTGCCATTTTCACAAATACCAGTACAGGTACACTGAAACTTCTTCTCTTCGCTTACCCCGTCTTGTTCTTCGTAGCTTGGTGGTCACAGCCCAGGGTCAGCCAACATGTTACTGATGCAAAGGTTGTGGGTTTGCATCCCAGTAAACCCATATAAAATTGTGACCCTTCCCTCTACAGTTAATTATGTTGAATACAATATTCAGATGATGAATGTACACAAAAACAATCAGAAATGAGATGCCTCAGCTGTTGTTTTTCACCCCAAATCACTTCCAAACTGTTCTGAAGGTCACATGGTTGGGGGGGGGTGGGGTCATTTTTTTGGTGCTGTTATTGGCCATCACGAGCGAGGCCGAGCCAAATCCCAACTCGCGTAGGCACCAGCTATGGGTGAAATTGAACGAGTCTGGATTAGCAGCTCTGTCTATTCACCTCGCTTCCATTGCTGGAGACTGGATTCTCTTCCATTCTGCCTTAATTCCAATCCTTTCATCCATGTGGTGACCTAAATCTTTGCACTGTAACTAAGACGAAGAGGTTGGAACACATGTTGGCTGATGTTTCCAGGAGTTTTTTTCCCCTCCATTTTTGTATTTATTTTTAATAAGTAGACTTTTTGGTATGGTAGCTCAATGATTGGATATGTGACCTTGTGATGGACGTACATCCCGTCCAGGGTGTTATGGCCTGGTGCCCTGTGCTGCTTGGGATAAGCTCCAGATTCCCTGTGATCCTGACCAGGATAAGCGGATAGGTTTCTTTGACATTTTGAAAGCATTGTGCCTTCAGGGATTCTTTGTGGGATTTTAAAGAGGCATATTTTTTTTATAAAAAATGGTCGGTTCCCAAGGTATATAAATTTAGAAATGTACAGTGTGGTTTGCTAGCTTTGTAAGAGGGTACAGAAGAACCCCCAGACCTGCTAGGGCAGGCTGAGCACAGCACCGCCAGCCCTAAAGCTCCTGGTTCCGGGTGATAATCCTGAGGGAGACCCAGTCTGTCCCAGGTAGCGCTGGGCGTCTGATTGCGGCACCATCTGTGCCGCACTGAATGGCCCGTCTGCCGCGTCCCCGCTTCCTGTCACCCTCACCGGGGAGTTAAGAGAGATGAGCCAGATCCCAGAGCCCTCTAGCGCCCTCTGCAGGCGGCAAGGGGAGACCACATGCTGTTTATGTTTTACTGCCCCACACCCCTCCTGTGCTGCTTGTGGCTGGTCGTGGAGATGACATGATGGGCCACTGCTGGAGGATGATTTTGGCTCTAGGTAATTTTTTTTTCCAGGTACACCGGGGTGGGATGGGGTCAAACCCCACACTTCTGTCTTTAACTAGTAAAGAAGACATCCTCCTACCGCACTGGCCACATTTTTTTTTTTGGGGGGGGGGTTACAGGCTCTCCTCTCCTACCCCCATACTAGAGGTGTTCACAATGTCTCTCAGTATGCCCCAAACGCACGACAGCGCCCCCCCAGTGCACTCTAAGTAACCGGCGGGATTTCTAAACCAAGCCGCCAGGACGTGCGACAGCTTGTCTGTGTTGTTTTAAGCCTGACTGCTCGGTGCTCAGGCTGAGGCTATCGCGCTAACGTGCTAACATGCCCTGTGCTGCGTATTGTTCCGTATCAGAATGGCCTCTGTGTCTTTAAAAGGCCACACATGGAGATTTCTTCAGTACATTTTTCCTTCAAGTGTCAGATTTTTTTCCCCCCAGAAAGTGGTTTTCTTCGTATTATTATTATTATTCTTTTTCTTCCTCCACTCTCCGGAATGTTGTGGGGAATTTCGGCCAGAGAGCACGCCAGGCCAATGCAGTCCCACCCGGGATTAATGCGGGTGTTTCGGGGTGCCCCGCCCGTGTCTCTGCGGCCAAAAAAACGCGGCGTTGAGTAGGGGCTCATTTTTCAGCTGGAATAACCTCTAGGGGAGGACTTGCTCTCAAACCTCAGATCAGGAGCATGAAGGGAACGACCTTTTATCAAAGACCAGAGGCTGACACCGACTTCTGGATTCAAGATTTAAGATTATTATTTGTCACATGTACAACTGTACGGTACAGCGGCAGCGAAATGTTTTTGTGGCAAAACAGCTCCATCACTGTGCATAACCACATATAAACTATAAGGGAAAAATGTTCCTGTCCTTGGCTGAGTGTGATGTGACATAAGATGCAGCATGCTTGTGTTGTAGTGTCTTATCTGTGGTCCTGGGAGGAAGGCCTGAGCGGGGAGCAGAAGTGAAGCGCTCATCTGCTGACAGGTATCAGAGATGTACTTGGGGGCCGGGCACAGTGGCGGCAGGTGGCCGCAGCGGGCAAGCCTGTGCCACTTGGCGAGGCCCGGCCTGTGTGGAGAGCTGATCAGCCGCCACACCCACTCAAATTTCCGCAAGCCACTGGTTGGGCGTGAAAGAGATCGGGGTGATTAATCGGGATAATTGGTCGGAATGATCGCTTTTTTCTGTGTGTGTGAATTCTGCCTGATTCCGACCACCTGGTTTGAATGTGAAGTAAGGGAGTGGCATAGGTTTATAGGAGGTCACGTGACACGAACGATCATGTGACGGGGGAGGTAAAAACACTCCCGTCTAGACTTCGAGGTTGGATTGATGCTGCGCGGGAGCTTTTTGGGGGGGGGCAGGGGGGCGGGAACCGTGAGCTTGTGGGACAGTTTGTGTTGCAGAAAGGTTTGGGCCCCTTGCCGATTTATTATCCCCGCCATGTGGATGACCCCGTGACCCCTGCCACACGGCCCTGGAGCCTTGCCCCTCGCATGCTGCATCACTCAGTCAGGAGGCAAATATGTTCCGCTATCCGGCTAGTGTGCTGTGTGATCGATTGCCTCACCTCCCCATGTCTGCTCCAAAAAGCTCTAAGAGCGAAAGAGTGATCTGGAACGTTTGGGGAATGTTCCCCAAACGTGGTCTTTGTTTAAAGGGGTTCGTTTTCCTCATGGAGGCAAACAGAAGTCATTATTATCCTGTTTTTCTGGAGAGGAAAGTGCAAGACTGAAGCTTTGTAAGGGTATTCTTCCAGAACGGGGACACGGGGCGGTCCACATTAGAGATTCTCCTCAGTGGAGTCTGAATCACTAAGGGAAGACGGGGGACCGATTTGACTGTATTGTGTTCAAATAGGCATAATTAAGAAAGTCTGTCCCTGGCTATTACACAGTCAAATGTGATCCAGGAATTGCAGGCTGAAGGAATGTGAAAGGAATGAGTGGATAAAGACCAACCGATCGGGTTTCGGTGGAGACTCAGGTTCTGATTGCTGTTGTTAACCCTCCACATTGCCGGGCAAATGCCGTGCGCCCGGCTGAAGGGCACCACAGCTGCTCCTCACAAAACACATTCCTAAGACCTGCTACATACATTCCTAAGACCGGCAAATCGCATTCTGAACGCATCGTTCAGTCTAGCTGGAAGTGCAGAAACTGGTTCCCAAACAGTGACACTGTACAGAATTATTAAAAAGTACTAATCTTTTTGCCTTAATCAGCCCTATCAAACCAGCACAAACATTAGCACGTGAGTCACATTCTCCAGTAAACTGTTTAGATCTGATTTACCAGCAATATTTTTATTATCTAATTATATTCCTGTATTATGTATGAAAATTAACCTTTAAAAAAATGCTAAATGTGTATTCTTACCTTCACCACAACTACAAAGCTATGCTTTTGGAACAGTCTGAGGAAAAACACTGACATTATTTTGACATCTTTCTTTGCTGTTATTATACGTCAAATGCAGCAAATTCCTTTTGACTCGAACTATGGGGCTCTACAGATTGCATTGTTTCTGTGACCGAGTCGATTACAGAAACATTCTGTCAATGGAACTTAATACGCGCTGACAAAATCCAGGGGTCCCGCGGAGCCGTTTTATCTGGCTTCCTCCGCGGACGAGGAATGAGAGCGTTTTGGCCGGGAGCTGAGTGAGGGCAGCTTGTGGACACGGCACAGGCCGGGAGGGAAGGGCGCCTGAAGGTGACAGAGATTTGGGACAGGGTCCCTCGTCGGGCTCTGGTCCTGCCGCCTGGCTGGAGAGACCACTGCCATCATGGTGATATCTACTTTTAACTGAGGGTGCGCGTGACATGGAATGCCAATGTAAACTAATCGAAAAGCAAATTTCCAAAACTCAGTTACTCCATGGGATACATTTTCAATACAATTCCTGTGGACTTAGGGAGTTTCAGAAATTTTTACAAATGTTCTTTGTCGGATTTCATGAGGACCGAGTGGGTTTTCAAAATTTGCTCTCCCATTTATGCGCCGAGCAGAGTCTAGGTTTATACGTGGGTTGTGTGATGTCCTTAAGTCATAGGCCTGAAGTTTCACATAGAAAAAAAGCAGAAATGAGTGGCTTCCTGTGTGACAGCAATATCGCATTACCAGGGTGAAAAAACTGTAGGCGTCGCGAGTGTGTGTGCAATTCTGTGCAGACATTAACCTCAGACAGATGCGGTCGGGGTCGAAATTCTGTCGCGTGCTTCCTGGCAGCACCCGGGTCTGGCATGGGTGGCAGAAAGAGCACTGATGCCTCACTGTGAAACTCAAGGGGGTTCTCGTGGCTCTGAGACCGCGAAGTGAGGCTCGCCACGTGGCTTCATAGTTACTGAACTGAAGCTGTGTAGGGAAGAAGTGCATTAACCGAAAACCATGCATCTGTCCACTATCTTCTGCAAGCCATGCATCTGTCCACTGTCCCCCAAAAAACATGCATCTGTCCACTGTCTCCTGAAAACCATGCTTGTGTCCACTCTCATCAAAGTCATGAATCTGTCCACTGTCTCCTGAAAGCCATGCATCTGTCTACTGTCTCCTGAAAACATGCATCTGTCCACTGTCTTGCGAAAACCATGCATGTGTCCACTGTCTCCTGAAAGTCATCAATCTGTCCACTGTCTCCTGAAAGTCATCAAT